ATGATTTCCTTCAGTTATTTAAACCTATTTATAAATAGCTGCTTTGGAGTCTTTGCCTTCTAAGTCCAACATTTTTGCCCTCTCAGAATTAGTTTCCATTGACGGCATTTTCCCCCTGTATGGAGCGCACACTCTTCTATTTCTTTGTATGTCTTATAGATATATTTTTGGAAATGCAAATTTTGGTTAATATATATTATAGCAACTCTCATTTCTGATTTATTTCCCCTGAGGGTTGTTGCCACTGTTTGTCTGTATGTTTATCACCATAATTTTTGGACCATAAGTCGCACATAGGTTTTAGAGGAGGAAAATAGGAAAAAAAATTTTGAAGCAAAAAATGTGGTAAAATATTTAATTACATAAATAACATAATTTCACCAGTGGAAATATAAACAGAACTCAGCAGCAGCATTAACAATTAGTATTCCTCCCAAATTTGGGGGAGTGTTTGTCTTATAGTCTGAAGAATATGGTGACTCTTTGTGCAAAATCTGTGGAGTCTGTTTAATGTATAGTTTGTGACTGTTGATTCTTACGCTCAGTTTTTATTTTATTCTATTTTACTTTTATGTTTTTAAAGCTGGTTTGGTAGAGATTAGCTTTGCATCAGTATAGGTTAGTGGGCAGCTAGTGTTTGGTCTTTGCTTGTACTTTTAAACATTTTGTTTCATTTTATGCTGCTCCCTTATGCCGATGATTCTTTGTTTTCGAAGTTCCAGCAGTTTTATGTTTGTCCTGAGTTTTTCTTTCCTTTGGGACACCGTGGACTTGGCTCTGTGTGTGTGTGTGTCGTTTGCCAGAGGTTTGTAGGCAGCTTGTTCCCTCTTTGGCCCCTCCTGCACGGATGGGTAGAGAGTTTATTAAGAACCCCTATGCTGTGTTATTCTCTGGATCTTCCTGGTAAATGTGTGACTAGTCATGTTTTGGTCCTTTGCTTGCCGTAGCTTATGCTTGCTGGGCCACTCACTTCCTTGCCATTTGTTTGGCACTGAGATTGCTACTATTACTGATATTGCTGTTTCAGGTAGGTTTTTCTGTGTGTGTGCTTCAGTCAGAATCATGCCCACCTCCTCTGCCAGTGAATCTGCTGGTTTTCAAAGCTTGCCTTGCCCTGGAATAATTACCATGGCAACCCAGCTGGGATGGAAGATGGTAGCAACCCCAGGCCAGAATGCCATAGCCTCCCACAGTTCGTACCTGTGGTTTTGCAGTTTTTTATGAGTAACACCTCTTCCTCTGCTTTATGTTTTTGATCAAGTTCCAGAGCCCTCTTGGTTGTCCTGACAGTTTCCTTATTGACCGGTGGGAGAGTGTTTGCTGATCCACATATTCTACCACACCGGAACTCCTTTCCCTTCAGACGGACTCTCATTACTAACACCATTGAGAGGCTGTGTAACCAGGGTTCCTTTTTACTGCACAATCAGAAGCACTATAAAGTTGATGTTTGAACTAGAGAGTTAAAGTGGAATTGTGGCATATTTTCCCATGACTTCCCCATAGTGCCTAGATAGCAGTTTTCATTATTATTTTGTTTCATTAAAGAATTATTCTTTATTTGGTATAGTGTATTTATTATTTTGTATAATATTGTTTGTTAAACTAGGTAAATAGAATTTCTTTAGAAGTATTAGCTGAAACATTTTTTTCAGTTTTAGTTTTTATAAGCAGATCTTATATCAGTTTTTAGTAATAATAATAACAAATCTTGAGTACTTATATTGTTTTAAAAACTTGACACATATGAAATCTTTTAGACCTAACAATTCCTTGAGTTACTTATAGGCATCATTTCCATTTTATCGGAAGGTAACTTCTTTGAATCACTATCCACCTAGTGGTAGAAGAGGTTAATAGTTGGGTCACTTTATGTTAAGTGAGAGTATAAATAAAATCAACTTTGCTTATTAAAATTCTCAAGGACATTTCCACATTTTCTTAATATTTAGTTTTGATGTTCAAAGGATACCTTTGTCTAGAATAAGTACTCTTTTTTGGAGAAAAATTTAGCTGTAAAACTGATTGTGATATTTCAGTAAAAATAGAATAAAGTAATAGAAACTCTTGCTTCTAAAGAATATTTGTTTTTAAAGTTTTAGTTCATTTAATACTCTAGGAAGTTAAATTTTGTAATTTGAGAAGGACCATTTCAAATTTCTCTTAGAGATAAGCTGGCAGGGAGACTTTGATTAGGTGAAGATTGTTGAATTCTTTGTGTTGACACGGAGAGGAAATGGGGGTTTTGTACTTCTCTTGGCTTCTGCTCCTCTGGAAGTAGCGTTTGGGAGCATAGAACTGCTGGTGGAAGGCAGAAGGAGAGGCGTTCGAAGCGGAAGAGCTGTCACTGGAGTTAGGTATGGCACCTAAAGACCATAAGCCCGTGTTCTCCTGACCAGAGCAGCGCACAGAGCCACACAACTGCCGCTCACTGCCAATAGCGTTCTCTAGTTACATGTAAGCCTCAGTACAATGTATTGTATTTTGAGGCTTGAATTTGCAAACTTTTTTTATTGTTGTTTTTATTTTTTAAAATATATTTTATTGATTATGCCACTACAGTTGTTCTATTCCTCCCTTCATTCCCCTTCACCCTGCATACCCCCTCCCCCACCATTCCCCCCCTTTAGTTTATGAACACGTGTCTCAAGTTCTTTAGATTCTATGTCTCCCCTACTATTCTTGCCCTCCCCCATCTATTTTCTACCTACCATCTATGCTACTTATTTTCTGTACCTTCTCCCCCCTTCTCCTTCTCCCACTCCCCTGTTGCTAACCCTCCATGTGATCTTCATTTCTATGGTTCTGCTCCTGATTTAGCTGTCCTCTTAGTTTGCTTTTGTTTTAGATGTGGTTCTTAATAACTGTGAGTTTGCTGTCCTTTCACTGTTCATCTTTTTTAATCTTCTTTTTCTTAGGTAAGTCCCTTTAACATTTCATATAATAAGGGCTTGGTGATGATGAACTCCTTGAATTTGATCTTATCTGAGAAGCACTTTATCTGCCCTTCCATTCTAAATGAAAGCTTTGCTGGGTAGAGCAATCTTGGATGTAGGTCTCTGGATTTCATGACTTGGAATACCTCCTTCCAGCCCCTTCTTGCCTGTAAGGTCTCTTTTGAGAAATCTGCTGACAGTCTGATAGGAACTCCTTTGTAGGTGACTGTCCCCTTATCTCTTGCTGCTTCTAGGATTCTCTCCTTCATTTGAATCTTGGCTGATGTAATGATGATGTGCCTTGGTGTGTTCCTTCTTGGGTCCAACTTCTTTGGAACTCTCTGAGCTTCCTGGATTTCCTGGAAGTCTATTTCCTTTGCCAGATTGGGGAACTTCTCCTTTATTATTTGTTCAAATAAGTTTTCCACTTGTGGCTGTTCCTCTTCCCCTTCTGGCGCCCCTATAATTTGGATGTTGGAACGTTTAAAGATGTCCTGGACGTTCCTAAGCCTCTCCTCATTTTTTTGAATTCTTGTTTCTACATTCTTTTCTGTTTGGTCATTTTTTTCCTCTTTCTGGTCTACTCCTTTGATTTGAGTCCCAGTTTCCTTTTCATCACTATTGGTTTCCTGTGCATTACCATTCATTTCAATTAGTTTAGCCTTGATATGTTCCTCTAATTTGTGACTAAAATCAATCAGTTCTGTGAGGATCCTGATGACCAGTGTTTTGAACTGTGCATCTGAAAGTTTGGCTATTTCTTCATAGCTTAGATTTATTGGCTCTGGGGCTCTGAGTTGTTCTTGAGCCATGTTTTGATCTGTTTGTGCCTGTTAGGTATGAGGAGCGGAGCCTTAGTTGTTTATCAGGGCGGGGCCACCCAGGTCGCTGGTTTGTGACACTGTAGGTGGGGGCGGGGTCAGAGAGGGACAATGGCTCTCCCCTCTGCCACTTCCTGCCACTGGGGCCTGCATGGTCTGTCTCACCGCTTCCTCCTTCACCGGTTTATCTGCGCACAAATGTGTGACCATGGTCAGCCCTCAGTGAGTCCGCCCACTTTTCCACACCTGGGATCTGCCTACAGCTGCCAGCACGCCAGGGTCACGCGCCCGTGTAGGTCCGGTGGATCTTTCTTGCCCGACCCCGCTCTGTTGCTGGCTCTGCCCCTCCTACCAGTTTGGCTGAAGGGTTCGTTGTTGTCAGACATCCATGAAGTTCAATTTTCTGTGGTTTTGGCTGCATTTTTGTTGCTAAAACCTTGTTGTTTTTAAGCTTGGTTGTGGGAGGAGGCACAGTGCTTCCACCTACGCCTCCATCTTGGCGGAAGTCGCAAACTTTAAATATAGAATTAAATAATGGTCACATTGAGAAATCAATTTTAAATTATTAACATTGTGTATCTTTAATAAACATAATTAAAATTTATTGTTTTGTTTTCTTTATATTGTATTTAAGTGGTTTTCAAATTGAAGTCACTTCTGGGATCTCCCGGAAATGCTGTGTGATATATTGTAGTTTTTAATTTGATAGCATTAAATTACTTCCTAACGGAGTTCGTCATTTATCAGGAATTGGAATGAGTGGTCACTAAAGATTCCAAACAGTATTCTTTAGATGGTCAGTGTTTCTCTTTCTGCATTTTTTAATGAGTACTTTTGAGATATTTAAAAAAATATGCTTTTGTAAAAAGCCACTTATTACTACTATAAACATGATAATATTCCTGTTGAACTTTTAAATAATAGACCATTTTTAGAACAGCTTATGTTTGTATTATGTTTGTAGAAAAATTGTGCAGAAAGAATAGAGTTTTCCCATCTATTCCCCTACTCCCTCACAGTTTCTATATTAACATATTACATGGATGGGATACATTTGTTAAAATTGGTGAACCAATATTGATATTTCTATTGATTTTTTAATATAGCAATTGTAATCTAATTTAATAGATGAATAGTTTTTGTAATCCTTATGCATACTCAATTGAGATTATAGTAGTTCATTTATTACTGATTTTTACAAAAATACTCTGACAATGAAATGCAATTACTCTCATCTTTTTAGGGTGGAATAATTAATGATGGTTCAGAATTGATTGGTCCTGTTGAAGCTCATTCGGATTCTTTCGCTGATACCTTTCCTGAGTGTAGTACGGAAGGTAAGAGATTTAATTTAATTTCTTCATTTCAATGATTTTGACTGCAGAGGGCTATAAATCATGTTTACATTGCAAAAAATAAATGGATATAGGAATTTGAGAATATTTAATTCTAAGATTCTACTGTTTTTACATTTTAACATCAGTGATATTTGACGCACGATACTGGGTTGATGATATCTTACATTTCATTGACAGCTTTTTCTTTCTTAGTGATGTATAAGGTAATGATTCCTCCTACAATTAGTGGCATCTCAGATTTGATGATACATGGTATAATGAATTTTTAGAATTTTTATTCTCCAGAATAAGAATGTCTTGCTTATTAATTTTATTTAGTAGCATCTAACTTTTAGACAGTTAATTTCAAGACTGGCTTTAAAAGTTTAGTCACGCACCCAGAAAAGAAAAATCTAAGGCAGTTTTAGTGTTTTTGATATCATTTGAGATTACATGAGTCTAAACCAAAGCAATTTTTGTGCTTCTAATGACTTTAATTCAAGAATGGTCCCTCACTCTTGTGTTTTATTCCTCTGTTAGGTCATCCTTGAATTTTTATGAAGATTTAAAATACATACATTTTTGGAATTTTGGATTTCCCGTGCTAGTTTTCTTTCAGGGAACATTTTGGAATTGAAAAAAGGATTTGGGGACAGGGATGGGGCAAGTCTTTAAAAATAGTTAATTGGATTTGTTTGACTCGGCTTAGGTCTGGTTTATATAAAAGTAAAATCATGACTGGAGAATATTTCTCGATCTCTTTCATGAGTGGGAGTTTCCAGCAGAGGAGGGTGCTTTGTGAAATTAGTGGTGGGAGGCAATTAGATTACAATTGCACTGTAGCGATGTGTCCCTGGGCCTGTGTGCAGACGTCCTGTGCGGACAGACGAACTGACGTAGAGCTCTCGCTGTGAAGCCCCATCTCGATTTGGTAGGAGCAACACTTCCTCATCCACTGTGCAGGCTGATGCACTTAAATATGTTTTTCTGTTGGTTACTGTATTGGAAAGTGATTAACTTTCCTTGTTTTTCAAGGTGACCTCTGTTGACTTCAAAGTGAGTTCATTAACTTACAGCCAGTGTTCTGTGTAATGTTCCGGGCCCTCAGGCCCAGGATCTCCACTGAGTCCCCAGTGTGATTCTCCTTCCAGAGCCAGTCTCCTTGGAAGGTGACGTCTCTGGGATATCGTGACCTGGCTCTTGCCTCAGAGATGTCCTCCTCCTGAGAAAGAGGGAGAGTATGTTTTCTGCCTGTGAAATGTGCTGATCTGATGATGTTCAGTAGAGGACAAACAGGACAGTTAAAAATATTTGTAGGAGAGTATTCAACGAGGAGTATAGCTCTTGGAAATTGAAGAATGTTTTTGTTTTCTCTTTTTGTTTTGTGGTACCAGAAGCGAAGGTTGTGTGATTTGGGAATGGTTATGTTCTGTCAGCAGCCATAGAAAAGCTTCATTGCTGGGTGGGAGTCAGCCGTGGTACAGAACTATGTTTAGGAGCCTGTTTTGCTGTGACGTCATCAGGGATGGAGTGGTGCAGAGGGGTCTCTTGTCCTTCGCCGTGGTCTAGGAGGGAGATGGAGGGGCGTTATTATTGGGAATGACTTTTCTTGGGATGATGTTCTTAAAGATGCAAAACTCTTCTGGGTAAAAAGATGGCTGTATTTATGTAAAGGAGATATAACCTAAAGTTAAGGTGAGTTAGTAATTTATGGTCCAGTCTGGGAGACTTCCGAGAAGTAAGAAGATGCTGTTAGCAAGTGCAGTCAGACAGCTGGCATAAACCGGGACTGCCTGGGACAAGCAGGGTGGAATGGGCTGCCCGTGTAAAACAGTTATTTCAGAGTTTGCCTTCCAAGTTTCAAAATGATGGGTTTTCTTTGGAAGGATTTCTCTTCTGGAAATATGCTTGTATGAGAGAAATTGGGGGCAACATTTTTATTAAAACCTCAGGAAAAGACTTACGAGACCTAAAAGTAACAGTGACAGTTTATCCTTTCAGGGCATTGCTTTGTTTTCCAACAATCTTACCATCTCTAAAATGCACTAACAATGAGAACACGGGACTGGAGATGCCGTGAATGCTGGTTTTTTTACCCTTTCCTTTAGAAGCCTTTGTGCCTGGCTAATTAATCCTGCGGAAAGACACCGTGTTAACTAAGATCAGACTGTCAGACAGCTTACAGACTTATTGCTTATTCGAGAGGGGAAAGGACTCTTAGGTATCACGAGGTTGTCGGGCATACTGGCACGTGTAAGATGTGCTTTTGTACCGACAGTTCTGCAAGCCCTAGAGACAGCCGAGGGAGGGGGCCTCTAGTGTGAGAGGGGGGAAAGCTGGCCGCCCACCAAGCCCCACCGGTGTGCAGTGAGCCGAGGGCTGTGGAGGGCCTGTGGCTGGCACGTGCTCGTGGGGTGGGGACAGAGCCAAGATGTGGGGAGGTGATTCACTCCGTAACAGCTCCTCTGAGGGCAGTGTTTTAAATGGTGTTTTGAAGGTAGATTCAGTTTTCATACTTGTGATTTCGTTTGCCAGTGGAATGAGCCAGCAGGGCAAATCTTAGTATCTAGTCGGCTGTTTCAAGGTCCTTCAGGTAGAGTTAGAATGACCTGGCAGGTCTGTCACCTCAGAGAACAGATGCAGAGGCTAAGGGATCATTATTTTTATTAGTACCATAAAAATGCAATCAGCACGTTTTACGTTACCTTGAAAGAAAGTTTTCCCAGGAAAACCAGGGGCCGCCTAGTGGGTAACCTTATTTTATAGTACAGTGGGGTGGAGGAAGGTCCTGGAGGGTGTGATAAAACCAGTAATTTGGTAATTAACTGGTAAATATAGTTCATCTAATACGAGATTGAAAATTACAAAGTTATTCAGTAGGCTTTTAGATAAAAAGTTAATACTTTATGTTTTTAAAGTGAAATGCTGGTTACTCTTAATCTTTTTTCAGAGAAATTAAACTATATCCTTTCTCATAGAGGAAAGGTTCAACTGATTGTTAACATCTTATTTCCTTTTTAAACTTTCATCATTTGTTGGATTAAAGTTAGCTATGAAGTTACTGACATTGGTGAAAACCTGGCCAGAATGATGCAGGGAATCGGGCTTCTTGACATGTTTCTCTCATCTGCTGGCCTGTTTGAAGGCTGTCGGCTGCCTCACTGCCCTGCTGGCCTCCATACCGGAGCCTTTGATGGCGGTGCGGTCTCATCTGGGAACCTGTGTCATTTCCTCTTCCTAGTGCATTACTTTATTTCCTTTGCCGTTCTGGGAGGGGCACTTTCCAGGTGTATGCAGCAAATAAGAGAAAATAATTAGGTGATCATAACCACAAAAACAAATTGAGAGATCAGCTTCTTATGTGTATAGCAGGTCTTAAGGGTGAATATTCTTACATTTCTCCTGGAGTAGTCAAATCTACCTTTTTTTTTTTTTTTTAAATTTGTGAATTGTGTATTAGGAGCTCCTAAGTGCATATTCAAACAATTGTAGACTCAGGAAAGGATTTATTATGCTGTCTTGAATTACATTTTGAGAAAAATGCCATCTGTTGCTGGTGTGTGTAAGGGAAACTCATGAAATAACTCTCAGTGCAAGATTTGTGTTTTTATTTGGTGGTAGGGTAGTACTTTTTTTCATTATGTGGATAAACATGAAGATTATAATTAATATGTGTGAAATTGAATAATATAGATTATATTTAAGACATTAAATGTACTCAACATTATATTATGTTGGGGAGACTAATTAGAAAGGTGTAGTTATTTAAGTTTGAAAAAGTTCTGTATTAAAATACTTTTTTATTATATATTCTTTTACTTTTTTTGTGTTGTTTTCATGTAGATGATTTAAAGTTGATGTTTTGAGGCAGGATCATTTTATAAAGGAATATTCTTCAGTTTTTTTGCTACTTAATAACCTAAGTATATATTTAAGACAAACTTAAAAACGGTGCACTATACATACTGTAAGATGACAAAATACATGTCTAAATAATTTAAATTTAAATAGAATTGGTAGCAAATGTCCACTAGGTGGCACCATGAGAACTCTGAATCTTGTTACTTGAATTAGTCTGGGCCCTGGATTAAAGTTTATTCAGTTTGAAGTTCCTTTTTCTCTTATCTACCTACCTTTTATTCATTGTCCTTTATTAGTTGAATTTTCTCTGATAAAGAAGCTTAAAATAAATAGGAAAGAAGTACAGGTTATTATTCTCAAGATAAATACAAATGAGAATGTGTCATTGTGTGTATATGTGCATGTAAAACAAATGATACAAATTGTAAATATTGACTCTTACAACCCTGGGGTTATTGAGGATAATGTTGAAAAGTTAGGGCTTTAGGGGTTGGGTGAGGCAAATAAAAAATTGTGCTCTGTCGTGGGAATGGGTTTTAGAGTAGAAGGAACATTAGGGAACATATAGGTAAATCTTTTAGTTTACAAAAGATTTATAAACTGGAAACTGCAGAGAAGGTCAGCCATGTGCCTGAGGCAGGCAGGGCATTCTGGGTATTGAATAGCAGTCACAGAAGTGTGTTTGTGAAGTGGAGACTTAATTTTATGGAGAGGAGACAGAATATGCGTTTGGTAAAGCAGGCTCTTTGTGAACTACTAGTGTGTCCGTGACAAACAGGTGTGATTTGCAGGGAAGAAGTGGGGAGAGCAGCAGCACAGAAAGTTCTGTGGGCAGAAAGGGAAGCCCCCTCATAGATCTCGGTTGTTCACGCTAAGATAACAGTATGCGGGTTGTAATTGTGATGAACATGTTGTTTTCTGAGCTCATTCTGGTTTTCACCAAGTATACAGAAGATACTCTGATGCCGTTTTCATAAAGTTTCACGGGTGGGACATAGACATGTCCCAAGGACATGTAATAAAAGTGTGAAACATCAAAGGAACGGTTCTTTTGGTAACAGTAGCAATTATTAAATGATGAGTTGGTAATTGAGTGCAGGAATCTTAACTATAATAATCTTAACTCTTTTAGATTTAGC